CTATTAAGTATTTAAAGTTGCGTTTCAATGGTCATCACTCTTTCCTATTCCTTCTAAATCTTCATTTGTTCTCAAAGGAAAACTTATAATAAAATAAAGGAAAAATTGCCAAAAACTTCTTATAATTTCTTTTGTGGTTGTTAAAACCACCTTATAATTTTTTTTATTTTTTTTATTTTTTTTTGTAAAAACACATCTATAATTTTTTTTTGCGAGAACGCACGTCATCTCGGTACCTGACAATTAACCTTGTATTGCGGCGTTGACTTTGTCATGTGAGAAACACGTGATCCCTTAAAACCACCTTCCATTACTTTCCCCCCCTTCCCTTACCATTGCCACCCTCACCAACTCCCTCACCACTGCTACCCCACTAGCACAACTCACCGTCACCACCACCTCATTGCGACCAACATCTCACACACCCTCCCATCCCTCGAAAACCCCACCCCCGTAAATTCACCCCATCCACCTAAAAAACTCACCCCACCTCCCCTATCCCCACCCCCTTCTTTCATTAAAGCCCAATAGGGCATGCACATACTATAAAAAAATTCCCAAGATTTTAGAATCAATTATTCAAATTATAATGAATTAAAATTGCACCCATTAATTATAATCAAATTAAAGAAAAAAACACAAAATCAAGCATTTTGCAAACCCCAATTTCACCAATTTACCTATTAATTAAAATTGAAAAATTGATAACAATCAATCAATTAAAACTATGAAACAAACCGCAACAAGTTCATAATATCTTTGAGGGTGTTAAAAAAAAAAAAAAAAATCTTTGAGATTGCTTTCATCCAAAAGGTCTAATACGAATGACACTATTGGGTAATTATTCCCGAGATCAAATAAGCAATGCTTTGGGTATCTCTTGAATGAATTGAATTTTTAGATAGAAAATTGTGAAAATATCAAATTAAAAATTAAAATTTGGGATTAAAGGGGTGAGGTTTTAGGAAGAGCCACCGGATAGCACAAACACTTGGGGTTGTTATGATCTTTCTTAAACAATGGCGGAGATTTTATGAGAGAGAAGAACTAGGGTTTTTCTATTTTAAATTAAAGTGTCGATTTTTATCAAAGTTATGATGCGAGTGTTGATTTTTGAGGGTTTTACGTGATGGATTGGAGATATCAGCAGGTGAGTTTAGGGTGGTAGCAGGCCTGCATCAGTGTTGTGATAAAATAGTGGAGAGCATAAAAAAATTGAACATTGTATAAATTGATACATCGTAAAATTTCATAGTATCAACTAATTATAATAAATATACGATCAAAATTATTAAAGGTAAAATAATGTTATGTATCAACAAAATGTATATTAAAGTGTTTCAATTACTTTAGGATGATTTTTTTTTTATTTTTTTTTGACAAAAACTTTAGGATGATTAATTTTGTAGGGTACCCCTCCGTTTCTTTTTATTGGTTATTATCAGATTCATAACACTTCCTCCATTTCTTTTTTATTGGTTATGTTTAGATTTTAAACATTATTCATAATACTCCCATCCGTCCCAAAATATATGAGACGTTGGACTTTTTCACTATTCATGTATTAGTTTTGATCATAATTTTTTACTAACATAATAAAATCATATTTTATCATAAAATATGTTGTTAAATAGGTATATATATAAAGTTTCAAAATATAATTTTTAAAATAATAATTTTCATTAATATTTAATTATATACAAATAAATTCAAAGTAATGCATTGACATGTGTGCTATGTTGACTGTGTCATGTATTCTGGATAAAGGGAGTATTAGATAATCTTCAAATTTACTCACAAAGTAAAAGAGTTATGTGAGATCATATTTGATTCGTCTCAACGAATGCTCTATTAATATTCAATCGTTATAATTTTAAAAAGTATGTAATGAATAATAATCAAATAGGTGTATTGACAAACATGTAAAAATCAAAAAGTATCCAATGAAAAGCGACGAAGGGAGTATTATACTTTAGATATAGGGTAATTTTGTGAAAATTTAAGAAAATTTTACCAACAACTACCATTATAATGACTACTTTGAGAACAACTACCATTTATTTATTTATTTTTTTGTAAAAAAAAAAAAAATCTACCACAAAAACCTTGAGTAACACAACTACATTTAATTTCTTGGCAATAATTTCCAATTGAGGGAGCTGAAAAAGCGGTCGTTTCAACGACGAGGGAAGGGAGGAGGAACGGTTTCATCAACCTGAGAAGGGGGGGCTATTTTGGGGATGGGGGAAGGGGGGTGGTTTCAATGGTGTAGGTGAGTCGCCCGAGTGTTTTTAGGGGTAGGGAGGGGCCGATCGGCTGTTATCGGTTGCTAGGGGAGGCGGGCGGTCGAATTTCGGTCAGGCTGGGGGTTGGGGCTAAAGGGAGGAAGGATGGTGGCTGGCTGGGAAGGGTTTTTAATTATTCTTTTTTCTTTTATTACAAAAACAATTTGGACCAATTATGTTGTGACACATCACACATGGCTTTTACAAGATAAAAATCACCCTTTCTTTAAGTCACTGGTAAATCGACCTGGTGGAAGAAAATCAACCCAAAAGTTCATAGTGCTTTCTAATAAATGTAAGTTGGGATTATTGAGAGTAAATCGCTGAAAGTTCGGATTAATAAATTAAAGTGAATTTTTCTAAAAAAATAAAACTTAGATTTTGAAAGCACCCAATATAATAGATCGAAAGCGAAGACAAGTCGAATTCAGGGTTAATTGGAGGATGAAATAGAGTCGTTTGACTCTTGGAATTGCCCTTTTTAATCTCTTTAGTTTTAATAAAAATGTGTTCCTTTAATGGAAGTGGTGTTACTTATGTTTGTTGGGAGATATAGCAAAATTTCAATTTCAGATTTACATAAACCCTTGTTGAAGGAGAATGGTAGTAGGTGTTGTTAAACCCATTTGTATGTGATATCGGTAAAAGTCATTACAACATCATGACCTTGTATGAGAATATATACTCCCTATGTCCCACAATATAGTTTCTGTTTTCCTATTTTAGAGACCCAAAATGTTGTTCCTATTTCTATTTTTGAATAGTATGTAAAGACCATTATACCCTTATTATTTACTTTATTCATTGAACTGCCTAATTTACCCTTAACTTATCCACTTGCATTGTACTTTTTTCACTTTCTCTCTCTAACTTTTGTCTATAATTGTACTTTTCACTTTTTTCCCCTTAAATTATCCACTTGTCTTGTACTTTTGTCTAGCTTTTTTCCGCTTCTCCTCCCATTTCTTAAATACCCTGAAAAAAACACAATAGAAACTATATTATGGGACAAAGGGAGTATAAGATATGGTTTTGTCAGATCACAAAGAAATGTGATTGACATGTATGAAGCATAGGTCTCAAGAGGATTTTATCCATTTGAATTATAGGAGTCCCTTAGAGTAAGACATACTGATTTTGGGTTGTCTCCGTCATTTTAGCAACATTCATAGACTTTTAATTGTATGTTAGAAAATACCTTGCGCAACACGAAACATCATCACCAACTTCCCTCGTTCTATCAATAGTCCCATTGCATGTTTAAATGTATATTGGTAAGCCTTATATGCGTTGTCCTCACTCGTTGTAATAGATTATAGGTAAATATCGTTAATGACCTTAATTGATATTGTGTAAGGGCTTCTTATGCCAATAGTAACTTATGTTACTTACTATCCTTTCGTTTGTTGTAAACTCAGTTTAATTAATGTAATTTCAGTTGTTTCTTGTTTCTAAAAAAAAAAACTACAAAACTTACAAAGAATTGATACAAGCTTTGGTGTATGGATATATTTAAAACATGTTTACGTAAAACCTTTATAAAGCCAACATGTCTCGTAATTAGACGATCATATAAAGAAGACCCGCCCCATTTATTTATCAGACGGATCTAAACCATATTATAACTATGGCGGGTCATGGCTTTTAAAGGACTCCATTCCTATTTCCTACCTCTCTGAGTTATTTGTTCTCCATTGAAGCGTTCTCCGTTGAATCTAATTCTTGGATCCCCCATTGAAGCAGCTTCTAAGGTAAGTTGTTTGTTGTTGTTATCACCATGTCAATTTCACAATTTAGGGTTTATATTTGATCAAATCTAATTTAATTATCAGTGCTTTAAGTTTAGGGTTCGTAAATTCTTAGATTATGAAACATCATATCCAAAAGAAAAGAAAATTATGAGCTTAATTTGATTATTGAATCAAATATCCCTAAAATTATGTATTTTTCGAGATATTTCAATATGAAATCAAATCTCTTTTCCCTGGGCCTAGGGTGGCCGCCCCTCCTGCCCTGCCTCAAGGACGGGCTTGGTTTTCCTTTAATGTTAAGAATCTTAGGATGGAACTGTGAAATTGGACCTTTTCTATGTGATTTTTTGAGCATAATTTGATAAATGAATCAAGTTTGGTTGCTAATTTGTTGCAGAACCTTTTAATGCTAGAATGTGACTATGGTATTGGACCTTTTCTATCTCAAATCATGTGATTTTTCGAGCCTAATTTGATAATCAAATCAAGTTTGGCTGCTAATGTGTTGCAGAACACTTTAATGCTAGAATGGGACTATGATATTAGACTTCTACTATTTCAACTCATGTGATTTTTTGAGCCTAATTTGATAATTGAACCAATTTTGATTGCTAATATGTTGCAGAACCCTTTAATGCTAGAATGGAAGTATGATGTTGGACCTTTTCTCCCTGGCCAGGGCAGCTGACCCTCTTGCCCTAGCTCAAGGATGGGCCTGCTTGTGATTGACCTTTACTTACGCATGAATGTCATTCCCTAAGTTATCACATCCTCTTGAGGCCTACAAGAAGGGGCGGAGCCAATGTGGGTTCAAGTGGGTTCATTGAACCCACTGATTTTTTGAATTTTTTTTATAAAAATACAAAAACTGGAAAAACGGTTAAAATAAATATCTGTGTAGCAAATGTCAAGAAGTAAAGGTGCAGCTCAGTGGTTTTTTTACCTCACATTGTATATGAAATTATGAGTTCGAATCCCATTACTCACCGTCACACTTTAATTTTTTTTCCTTTTTGGTTTCTACATTACTGTTTATCACGAACAGTTTTCCACTTTTCCCCCAAATTCTAAAACCCTAACTCCCCTGAATCTCGCCAATCGCCGCCCGCCGGCCACCTTTTAGTCCGTGACTCCGTGACGCATTCCGCCTTTAGTCGTCCTTCACCGGCCACCTTCGTTCAATCAATCAGTTCGTGACGCTTCAGTCCACGGCCTCTACCAGTCAACCTGGTGTCTGGTGAGCTTGCCTTTCCGGTTTCCTTTAATGCTTATTGCTGCCTTGCTGTGAATCTGTGATTGTGAATGCTCAATGCGAGTATGCGATAGTGCTGTCTTTCTGTCTTTCATAATTTCATTGTTTTCAATTGTCGAAAACTCAAAATTGTCTAATTGTGATTTGTGAATGTTATTGAAATTGTCTAATTGTAATTTGTGAATGTTGTGATTGTTGTCGAAATTCAGAAATTGTCTAATTGATTAATTGTGACTGACTGAATGTTGTCTTTTAGTTTTAGTCTAATTGCATTTGTTGTCTTGTTGAATTGCTGCCAAGTGCCTTGCTGCCTTGCTGCCTGTGACCTTGAGTGCCTGACTAAGTGACTAGTGCCTTGCTGCCTTTATTGTCGTATTGAGTTATTGGTAAATGATAATTGCTAATTTGATTGGGAATTTGAGATATAATGATATATAATGTAAAATTGTAGATTGTGCCATTGTGGTATAGTGATATATAATGAATTTGAGATATAGTGATATATAATGAATTTGAGATATACTCGAAAAATGCTTCTGTAGTTTTATTTTTTCATTTTTCTATGTGTAATCTATTTGTAATCCATAATATGAACTTATGTACTTAATTTTAAATTATTATATTTTCATCCCTTTGTTAATTATGATTCCGAACTTCTGAAGTTTCGAACCCACACTTCGCAAATCCTGGAGACGCCACTGCCTACAAGGAGGTGAGTTGTCTGTTCTTTTGTTTGTTGGCTGTTTATTTGTAGTGCTGACAATTTTTATTGTTTTGTATTTGCAAAAGAAAGATGCTCAAAGTTTTGATTTATCTCTGAATGTGATTTGAGCATAGATAGTAGATAGTTTGAGCCTAAAATTCCCAAATGTTTGTTGAGCTGACATATTTAGTGGTCCAAAAGCCTTGATATGTTGTCCAAAAGCTGCATAATATAGTGTATAGGTATGTTTTAAGTATTTTTTTTAATTAGGTCACTAGCTAAAAAACCTTCTTCTTGTAGTGTTTTTGAGAGTACATAGATGGAAATTGACCTGTACAATGGGTCATGCCCCCATTTAAAGCCCTGACCTGCCCATTTATAAATGGGTCAGGTCCATCCAATTGATAAATAGGCAAGCCTTTAGCCGGTCACCCCAATAATGGGTTCTTAACTGGGTGGGCCGGCCCTATAAGGGTCAATATGTTGAAAATAAAAAATAATCTTTCTTTTATCATTGCCTTCAACAGTCTTCCATTCTCTCAGACATCCATCTTCTTCTCACATAAGATCCTATCATTAGCCTCCATCTTGTAAAATTGCTGGATTGATAGTTTAAAATTCATACAAAATCTAGGATATTGGGTTCATGTCTTGATTTTTTATGTAACGCTACTTAAAATTATTGATAACATACCATAGCTAGTTTGTGATAAGTGCAACGAATTTACTCTGTATATGAAGCGTTACTTAAACCAAGGACACAATAGTATGATTCTGACGCAACAAAGGTTGACGTTTAATTTGTTAGATTATTACAAAAATTGGGATTAGTAGTATGAGAAAATTAGAGATTAAGGTTGAGATATGTATAAAGGTGGGGAATGATCAAAGAAAATCTTGAAAATGAAGGCGGGTAATGATCAAAGAAAATGAATTGTTAGTGAAGTTTGTGCACCAGCAACTGAGGAGAGAGAAAATGGTTATCAAGTGTGTTCTTTAGATTTTGAGTGCCTTTTTAGTTTTCTTGCCCAAACATTAACAATATTGAAAAGTAAAGGGTTTGGGTTGGGCGGATCTAAATGGATCTTGATCTGACCCAACCCATTCAAAATTTAATGCAACCAAGCCCGAACCTGACTCGTTAATTATCGACCTGTCCGCCCATGACCTTGGTCTAGATGGAAAACGAGAGGTAGCGAGGGGTTGCGACAATGGCTGGCTTCCATTTGCTTGCCTACATGTCTCAAAATTGTGAATTTTCTCGCCTCCCAATTTGCTTTAATTGTATTCAGATTTAGCAGAACATTATAAGCATTCATTTGTGTAGCTTCTCTATATTTTCTAGCTATCTAAAGTTTGGGTTTCAGGTTTCAATTTCGATTTCATAATTGGTTGTTCAGTTTTTATCTTGTTATGTCCTTTTCTTTATATCGTACGATTCCTTATGACGATTTATGTTAGCCAACCCCAAATCATTTTGGGACTTAGGCTTTGTCGTTGTTGTTGTTGGGTGTTCGGTTTTTATTTTCGTATATATATTAACATTGTGCAGTTTTATAGGTTTAGTGTTGTTGAGTTGCCTTTAAGATTATTATATTATTAAAATTTCTCATATATATTTATCTACTGGGAAACATAGGGGGTAATGTGACAGTGGCGTATAAGGGACTAAGGGAGACATGTTTGGCGGCAGAAGCAGTAGCAGTTGGGTCCGCCATTCAGTTCGTTTCTTTAAAATTCAGCATGCACCAACAACACGACCATTTTGCAATTCTACTGCTCTAAACAACAAAATGAAGCACCAGCCTTGTGATTCTGATGGCAGCAACAGCTTTAATTATTTAAGAGACTTGGACAACCTTAATTTTACTAAGGCTGCTAAGATTCTTTTCTCCACTCCTCCCAAGAAGAAGAATTTTGGGTAATCTCCTCCTTTGTTGTTGTTGTTCTCTTTTTGTTGTTTTAGTGTTTTGGGTACCTTAGTTATACTGCGGTGGCTTTAAATTTCAATTCTTTGTTTAGTTTGTAATGTTGTTTCCATACCTATTTCCCAAGGATAATAATGACTACAATATGATTAGCTAGTTATTTCACTCTCTGAAACAATCTACAGTCTGTTGCATTTAGTATGAAGATTTAGGGTTCAAACTGGATTTACTAAAGTATATCCATCATAGGTTGTTTGTTTACAGTATGGCAAAAGTTTCCCTTACTTGAGGGTAATTGATTTCACCCCCTTGTTGCCCTCCCCAGCCAGTGGCAACAAGTCATGATACCCTCAATCTTTCATTTGTTTCCATTCCATTTTTATTAATTTACCTAATGATTAATAAAAGCAATAGTTGTCAATTTCATAAACATTTCCCCCTTTCGTTTGTTATAATTTCATTGTGCTTCTTTCAACCCTACCAAATGCACCCTCAAAGTGTCTGGCTAACTGGGTTGAGAGCACCCTGGATAGTAGGGCCTTAGCCCAGACCCGTTCCATTGCCTACCATAAGGATGGGCATATAATTTATGTCCTTGGCAGTTTGCATGTATTAAAATAGATACTGTATTTGCTTGTCTAGTATACAATCATTGGTCTTATAATTTCATGAGACATGTTCAGTGTTGAGTTGAACAACTTAAGTTGAGTTTGTACTTCCTGTCTCAGGTTTTCACTAATTACTTTCCATGATTAGGCTCGATTTCCATATGGTGCAGCTCTTTTTTGCCCTCATGCCATCGCTGGGTACTGCACTATTCTACTGTTTGTGTTTACTGTATCCAGTTCCAAATTCCAACTGCAATCTTTACAAGAATGTTGTCTGTTTCAGCTGTGTATCTCGTGGCCCAATATGCTCGTTATGATATGAGAAAAATGGAGGCGGTAATGAACTGTTTTTATAGTTTCTTTATCTATACTGTAACTTTTTGTTCCATTTGTTTTTTTTGAGGAAGACCTTCATTGCTAGGGAAATAATGCTTATTTTCTCAAACTAATGGTCAATGGATTTCTACATCACATCTTGGATTTTAGAAATCAGCTCTCTGCAGTGTAAGTATGACTGTATGAGTTCACATACATCTGAAACTATAGAGGGACTAGCATTACAGAATACAGACCTTTCTATGCTTAATTGGCATTTCTTTTATCTTGCCCCCACCCCAGCCTTTTTTTTGTTTCTTGGTCAGGACTCGTTATGTAATACCAAAGTATATCAGATGTAGTTCTCTTCCAAAAGGATGATAACCTGGTAATTTTTCTAATTGGTCTCTAGGAAAAGGGAGATGGATACGAATTTATAGAGGGGCCACGTTTTGGCACTTGAAGAAGCTCTTGTACAGTCCAAATTTTTTCATTTTTATTTTCCTTATTCATGTATCCGTCCTAGAATACTACTTGTATGTTTTGTGAGCGTCAAACTCCTTATGACATTGTTGTGGCAAACTTTCAAAAATCATATTCTTTGAATGTACAAAGAATATCACTTCAGAGTTCAGACCATTGCTTTTAACTACAGTTTCCTATAGTCTTCCATATGCTGGGGATTGATTACTCGTATGAACAATAAAGTATGATCTGGCACAAGCATACTTATGATTTGCCTTGGTGACAGTAACATTGCCCTTAAGTTAGTTAACTTGATCTGGGATGAACAAGTTAGGCAATGATATACTTTCAGAGTATGATGGAAATTTTCATCCTTATCTTTTTGCTAGATTTCTCAAAGTAGGTCCATTTTCATGTTAGGAGCTGGAACTGAAAAAGAAAGCAGAGGAAGAACAAAAGGCAAAAGAGATGGAAGCTGCTGCTGCGGAAGAAAAAGAAGCAGAGGCTATAAGTCCAGAGCTTTTAAAGGTCAAAGAGAGGCTAGAAGCACTCGAGGAAACTTTGAAGGAAATTGTGGTGAAAACAAAGAAAGGACCAAGTGACGAAAAGAGAAAAATTGCAGATCAATATCAAGAGAGAGTAGATCCTAATAGCAGATCAGACGATAGCAATATTCCTGCCAAAAACAAACCCACAACCCAGGAGGCAGCTTCACGACAGCCACAGAAGCAACTGGATAGCGAAAAGAGCGTGTCTCAAGAAGTTGATAAAAAGTGAGTTAATCATTTGAAAAAGCTGGTTTCTTGCTGCAAGTTTTCTGAACATGCATCCTGTTCATTGTGCTGAGAGTTTCCCACCACCCCCCCGGGCCAGGAATTACAAAGCAGTTGCCAGTATGTGTTGTTTTACACCTGTTAACATATTGATGGTGGAATAATCAAATCAATCAAAAAATTTATTAGTGAAATAAAAGTATAGTTATGCTTATGCTTGGTCTTAATTTTCTTTCATATCCTGTCACAGGAATCAACATAGGAATCCTACTGTGTAAGAGCTTAAATTGCATTCTGCAGGAATCAGGACAGAGAAGCTTACCCAAAATTAATCAACAAATGGTTATCCATTTTCCCCTTACACTTGTATTCTCTTACCATCTTGATAATCCTTGTAATTTTGCGCACCGCAATTGGTGTTGATTACAACTGTTCTTCCTTAATACCCAGTGGGAAGCTTAAGAATGGTAGGGTAGATAACTCGGGGGCTTAAGAGGGCCAGGTATTGTGGCCACCTAGCTTTGGAGCTCCTTTGTGATACTTCCCAAGCCAAAGACTTTTTTTTCTTTTTTTATGTTTATTTTATTTTTTTTTTTTTTTTGCTATACGTTGGAGTAGAAATTGAAGTGCATTACTATTGTTATTATGTACGCGGCATCTTTAGTTATTCTCTCCAATGGCCGTTCATTCAACTTCGAGGCTTCTTCGTTCGAATTGTAGGGTTAAAGGTTTTTGGGTGAATGTTGGTGGTTTTGAGTGGGTAAGGGTTTTTTTTTTTTTTTCACGGGGTGGGTTTTTGGGATTTCGAGTGGGTTGTGGCGTCTATGTAGGGGCCGATTTTGAGGGGTGGGCGGTATGTCAGGGTGGGAAAAAGGTGGTTTTGGGTGGTAATGCTGGTTTGGGATGGGTGGGAGTTAATTTGAGGTAGATAAGGGTACGTGGTATTTGGATGAGTAGCGATGGTTTTGGGGTGACAGTGATGGTGCAGGTGGTTTCTGCGTAAGAATCGTCGGTGGTGAGGTGTTTTTTGTGGAGGTGGTGGTGAGGTGTTGGTTTAGGTGGAGGTGGTGGTGGAGGCGCATGAATGTTGCATAGTAAAGTGGATTGAAAATCCTCTTACTAATGGTTAATTGCCAGCAAAACATATTTATCATTAATGTGAAGATGAGTTAGAATTCGAATTCCTAATGAAAATATATTCGCGGGAATCAGAATAGATGAGGAAAGAAGTTGAAAATTCAGGTCCATAAGAGAGTTGGATATGCATTGATATAACAGGTTTGAAAGGTAGAGATGATCATCAACAGCCCAACCTGCCGAAAAAACTACAGATCTGGGCAAGCGCAAAATATAGTACTTTTAGTTCAAACCTCGAGCTCGACCCAAAATAAAAACACAAAAAGGTTGTTTTTCACTTGATAAACTTGATATTATTTTGCGTGTTTGCACATAAGATTTTATACAAAAGTTTGGCCTAACATGGCTTGATTTTTTTATATCACCAACATCACATTCCATTATGTAGGTGTGCCTTATCCAAAGCATGTTTACAAATGCATCAAAAGGGAAATATGTGGAAGAACAACAAATGTAGACTGGTTTAATGCTCTTAAAAAATCATTTATAGTACTCCGTATTTATGTCTTAGGGTACGTGAAGGGTGGGGAGGAAATACAAGTTGACTTGTAATTAATGGTATGATTTTACGCTTTTTAAAGGTAAAGCAACAAGGTGATAACTGATAAACTTAGACTCCCTCCTAAAAACATTGGTCAATATTTGTAAAAGTAAAATAAAAATTAGGAGGAGAGTGATTTGGAATAATGATTTTGATGTAAATTTAATTAATCAAATCTGCATATGCTAGAAATTGAAGAATATGGTTGCATTCCCTTTTCATAGTATCAAAATATATGCAATATATTTTCAAATATTGAAGATGAAATAGTGGCGTGTGCATGTGTTTGAAGGTTATATCATTTGAAAGATTATGTGCAGGAGATCACATGCAGGTCATTGAATTTGCTTTTTATGGACAGCGCAAAAAGATATGAACATAATAAAATACTCTTATATTATATTTAATACAATTAAATTTGGTTGATTTTTGCATAAATGGAACATTACTATTTTTATGATAAATTAGGATAAATAGGGTGATTCTTATTAAAAATAACCACTTGGAAAATGTGCCCCAAGAGAGTTAGTATCATTTTTACGCAAGGTTAAAAGAGTAACCGAGGATCATAAGTGTAGTTAATTGAAACCTGGCAGAATACTACACACCCTAAAAGCTTCCATGACCAACACTTGGTATCCATGCAAGTATGCAACCATTGAGATGGTCAATAGTGCTACGGATGTGTAACATGTGTTTCACTGAATTAATTAAAGAGAGTAACTGACTACTATTTAGAACTTTAAACCAATTTCTGTTTTAACTAACTCCAAGAAAAATCGTAAAGGACTATGTGCGATACCTGTTTGAAGAATGCAATTAACAAAAAAAAAAAAAAAAGATAAAATTAATTTTAGATCTATTTTGTTTTATTTTAATTTGTAGAAATAGAAATCCCTCCCATATAGTCTAGTGTAAAATTTTAGTTGGTTTACATACAATCATGCAATACAACTTTCGCAAAGTCGTAAGTGAGGAGAGCATGTATATTAGTGTTGTTGGTTGTGTACAATAATTGCACATTGCTAGTTGTTTAATTTTAAAAAGTAGAAACGCAGGTCCAAAATTTACATTGCCTGCCGTAAACGTATATTATCTATCAAGTATATGCTAGGACCATATTCTAACAATGAAAACATAAAGAATATAATTAGAACAATTAATATCTTACCTCTTTTTATTTTCAAAACCAATAAAAATATTCTTTACTATATATTTTTGGATAATACTAAAATACGATTCCCTGTTACTTTCCCCTTTAGAAACCCTACCATACCATATTCATATCCAACCTCTTTCCTTCCCTCCCAACGAAGAGTTAAAAATTAAAAAAAAAATTCCCACTTCTCACTAATTATTCGCTCTTCTCTCAAACAGAACAAAAAATAAAAAATCAATAAAAAAAAAAGCAAACAAAATCCACAAAAAAAAAAAAAAAAAAAAAAAAAAAACCTACCAAATTTAGAGAGATAAGCAGAAAGAGGGTTTTGTTCTGTGTAATCGTAGAGAGAGAAAGAAAGAAAGGTGGATTGCTAAACATCGCCCGCAAATCTCCACATAGAGCCTACAAAGTTTGTTTGATTTGACAATATTGCCCTTAACATAAAAAAAAAAAAAAAAAAAAACCACTTACACTCTCATCACTCACACTCTCATCACTCATCTTCTTTCTACATCTCTCTAAAAAAAAAAAATTCAAAGTACGGCAATGTCGAGGCGGCAAGGAAAGGAATTAGCGGAGGCGGCGGCGGAGGGAAGGAGGTCTCACGGTGGAAAGGTTCTTTTTTTTTTTTTAAAAAAAAAAAGTGAAAACCGTCGTGGGGTGGTGGCGGCGCATGGGGAGGACGCCACGACAGTGGTGGTGGCGCCAGAAGTAGACGCCGCCGCCACGGTTCAGGCGTCTGGATCTGGCGCCGCCACCACCGGTGAGGCGTCTTCCCCATACGCCGCCACCACCGGCGTGGCGTGAAACCGATGCGCCCCTTTTTTTTTGTTTGTTTTATTTTGTTTTTGAAAATCAGTTTTTTTATTTTTTATTTTTTATTTTTTATTTTTTTTTATTTTATTTTGAAAATCAGTTTTTTTTTTTTTTGTTTTTTGAAAATCAGAATTTATTTTTGTTTTTTGAAAAACAGTTTTTTTTTTGTTTTTTTTTTTTTAAAATCAGTTTTTTTTATTGTTTTTTGAAAAGAAAATCAGTTTTTTTTATTGTTTTTTGAAAATCAGAATTTTTTTTTTGTTTTTTGAAAATCAGTTGTTTTTATTATTTTTTTTTTTAAAATCAATTTTTTTTTTTTTGGAAATCAGAATTTTTTTTTTTGAAAATTGGAATTTTATTTTGTTTTTTGTTTTTTTTAAGTAATATTTTTTTGAAATTAGAATTTTTTTTTACGTTTATACTTCCTTTACATTTCTTTGTATGTTTGTTTTGTACATTTTTTTACGTTTATTGCAATTTGTAGTTTGTTTTTCTGGTTTAGTTGATATATTTTCGTTTAGTTTACTTTTCTTAATTTTTCTTTTATGTTTATATAAATTTTGCATGTGTTGGTTTTTTTTTCTTTGTTTGTGTATATTTTATTCTTTAATTTATTTTTAGTGTTATGTTAATTTCTTTTTAAGGTTACTTTGCTAGTATATTTTCATTTGATTTAGTTTTTGGTAGTTATTTTTAATGTGTATACATTTTTTAATTTTTTGAAGGTGTCGCATTTTCGCCATGGTGCGGGGAAGAATCTAGACCTTATTAGGCCTGGAAACTACTCGATGGAGAGCTCGGGGCCCAGACATCTTAGATCCCGTGGTATTTCGGCCTCGGCTCGTAGAGGACGGGTTCACCATCGGGATGAGGATGAAGATGATGAGGAGGATGAGGAGGAGGAGGAGGAGGAGGAGGAGGGCGCGTATGAGGATGTGGACGATGGGAGTGGACCATATGATGATTACGGTCCATTCAGTCAGAGGCTAGATGACATGTACGAGACGCATAGGGTAGATGTGCGTAAGGGTAGGGATGGTAGGTTTGTGAGTAGATCTGGCACATCATCTGCGTCCACCGTGTCTGGGGCAAGCAGAAAACAGTCGAGGGCTGTTATGATTCTTGGGTGGTTAAGGGTGCGGTGCCTGGGGGGCCTGTAGACGGGAGTGTGATTCCTAACTTTCTAGTACACATAGCTACCCGTATCTGGGAGGACCAAGAGAGGTGTTTGGTGACGGGCATTTTGAAATGCCAAACCCGGGAAAAGACTTGTAGCGTTTTGAGCAGATAGGCTGAGGCTTGGACGGTGGAGAGCGAGATGTTCGACCGATTGCAGGGCACTGGGGTGAATCACCTTCCGGCCACCATGCACGATAAGATTGATTGGACGCTGATCATGTTGAGCGGTGGCAGCCGGATACGAACTCTTTCCACCTTCCATTCGGTGAGATGACGATCATGTTGCATGACGTCGAGGCCATTCTTGGGATTCGTGCAGAGGGTAAACGCCTTTCTGTTGTGACTGATGCGGATCAGGCAGATTTGCTGGCGGAGCTGTTGGCGGTGGATAGGGCTGCGCTGTACACCGGGGCGCTTGGTGTTTGGGACCACGGCGGTGTGAAGATCGCATTCGTCTTGCAGCGTTGTTTGTACCCCGGTGCACGTAGGACGCATGACGCACAACTGGCTGCTTATGTTTTTCTTCTCCTCGGGTGCACCTTGTTTCCGGATAAGAGCGGAAACAAGCTCAGGCCACGCGACATAGTTGATGCGTGTGAGACCGACAGTGTTGGCCAGTTTTCGTGGGGGTCGGCTACGTTGGCGTATCTGTATCGCCAACTGGGATTTTCGAGTCGGGCTGACGCGGCAGGTATCACTGGATGTCTGACTTTATAGCAGACCTGGATATACGAGTACT